CCATAATCAGGAACAASTACACCACCAGCCAGTTCCKTGAAAAGAAAGAGGAGGAGAAGCTCCACAGGCAAMCCCAACARTATGCCTGGGTACATGAAGCTTGCAGGGCAGGYCCATTTCTTGATTGGTAAGAAAGCAAATATTGGTGCTGGAGAGGAKRAWAACTTTGTAAGAAAGGCTTCATTAAGAGTGAGGCTGTGGTGGAGGGTTTCGAYGAGACCTCCCCTGAAGCATCCAGTGCTGGTGATGGCAGTGATGAGTCAATGTTGCGGCCATCTGTTGTACAATTGTCTTCTACTACTGCTACAAAGAAGAGATCATATGGAAATAACTCCGATGTTCCTGATAGTCCTGCATTCTTCAATGGGTAGTATTTGAATCATCCTCATCCCCCATTCAACATCTGCCTCAAGGATGTGGCATCCCWATTGATTGTCCTTCTCAGGGTCCTGCTGTGGTGAGCTCTTGATGAAGATATGSTCCTTATCTTCGAATGAAAATTCTAAATCAACCACAACSTTTGCATTGGACTGGTTGTGGACCTGCTCAATCCTGTGATAAACCCCATGGTCAGCAATAGCACTATCATGCCAAGCGCAACCACCAGGACAGTTGAAGACTGAGATTCTAATTAYTATACCATRATGAAGTCAACGGCAAGCCAATACCTCTCCATAAGTAACGACTCATAATTGAGTATCGCAGGTTCGTTTGAGGTTATTGGCAGCACATATTTGGTGCATAACGTACAAAAGCTATCGAATGAATAACCGAGCACTTCACGCTCGTTCGTTTACTTTCAAATTATAATGAACTGTTTCCAACAAGTTGCAATGTTGAATTATCAAATACCATGGCGATGCTGTCGTAATAGTAATAGAATGAGTCCTTTCAGCCAACGAAAACTGATCAAGAAACATGAGTAATTCACGATCCTCAACCTTTCCGTCGTCGTCATCCTCTCATATCCCCCATGCTTTGTGCAGCTCATGAGTTTATCCCATCTACGATCCACATCCCCTCTGGCTTTTTGATCATTTCAAACGCCATTCTCCTAGAAACRCGATAGCGACGGTTACTGCTGGAACGCCTTAGCGCTCCAACATTCGCAAAATGTGAAGTCGCTTGCGCAACCAATCCTTAAGCTCGGCCTTCATGCTGTCGCCTGCCATTCCTTCGAGCCGTTTGATTTGTTTGGCTCTTTCATCCGAGCCTTTCGCCTTCATTTTCTCAATGTAGCCCTTTTCTTTGTCTGTGCAATCGGATCCATCGTCAACATTACACTTGATTTCGAGGGTGTCTTCGACAAATTGTTTCAATGAACCAAAATCTCTTCCTCCTTGATAGTCGCTTCCTTCCTTATCGCCGTCAAGGAAATATTTGATTGTGGGGTCTGAAAAGGTAGGGTACGACGGAGTGTCAAATCAATCATAAAAATAGCGAAGGTTAAGGGTGAGGGTTGACTTGAAATTCTTTGCGGTCAGAAAAGCAAAGAAAACTGCACCAGCAGTAAAGTACGTACAACCACTGATTCCGAAGTCTTGGCATAAYTGTTGCGCCGMTTCATCGGTACAATCAGCATCCGCAATTAGGACGGTAGATGAAGCTGCATATTCATCTCCTAGTTTGTCCCAAGCGGGTTTCATAGATTTGCAATGGCCTCACCTGTCGGGGGGAAGGGAGAGATAACAATCAGTGTATGTTGTGTCAGCGTAAATGATAATATTATTCGACTTTTTTCGGCCTAATAAGAAACCCGGAAAGAATGACTTACCAAGGGGCCAACTTCGCRAGCGTTCATAGAAAATTGTACAAAGAGAGAAAGAAGGTATAAGAACATTTGCTCTGGCAAACGATCGCCGAAAACTCAAATTGAAGCTCCTACTTTAAACTCACAAATTTGACGAATGCATTTTTCCCTTTCGTCAGTTCATCGAAGTTGTCACGTGTGGCCTCTTTGGCTCCACTGGCGCTCGCCAATGCGACCATAGAAGCGGCCAGCAAGATCGAAATGAGTCCTTTTGCCATGATATTTTTCGAGTTCTCTATCTCCTACTGCGGTTCGTCGAAGTTCTGGGTGACAGAGTCGAGAGATACTTCGTAGATTCGTAGAAGTACTTCGAAATAGATATTATGCCTATTCCTGTTGGCAACATTGATTTGAGCGATGCCGGTTCGCAACGCTACAGATTGAAACAAATTGAAACAAAGCGTATCTCGTTGTAGTAGGTCGTAGCAATACACCTACTACGATCCTTTATCATATTATTCTTACAGTATGAATGTACCAATATACGTACGTACTGTACGAGCTCGAAGTCTAAAGTTCACCATGCTTTTAGTACGAGTACGTACGTACGTACTGCTGTCACGCAGTATTTTTTTCGTTCTTCACAAATTCCAAATTCGCCAAAAAATGAGGGGTGGGATTTTTCAATATGGAGATTTTACTTTACGTGTCACTGAGGAATAGTASCGACCCCCCTTTTTGGGCAATGATCATCCACTCATCATCTTCGATCAAGTTAAACATCAAATTTGCAATTTGCAAATCCAGACCACCGCCACCGACCCGATGTAYCGGTSATCCCTCAAARTTAGAYAAGGTAAAAATTTTCGATATCGATTTGGTTGAAACGTTTTCGAATCAGGGAGCAAGGGAAAAATTCCGAAGGAAGAAATAAACGCCACAAATCATGTCAAGCACGCGTCCTCTGGTGCGGTCTGTGGTAAAGAATTTCCTCGAATCGCAGGATGGATATCATTTGAGAGCGGATGTCCTTCGTGTTATCGAAGAAGAAGCAATGCTCATGAGAGAAACCGAAGAAACMAAGGATATGCTAGACTCGGATCCTTTTCAGCAATTCGAACTCGTAAAGCCTCAGATCGAGCGTCTCAAGAAGATTATTAGGGTCAAATCCTCTTCGCGGATTCGAACGGGAAATGATTGCTGCCGAGTCGATGCCGTTGTCGGTTTTGAAAACTGCAATAATTTGGAACTTACCTTTCGATATGAACGAAAGCGTCGGCRGGACGAAGATGGACGAATGTCGAAGGCAGGCTTTCACATTAGATACTCCATTGAAATGTCTGTCGATCACCAACAAAGAGAAAACCTGTTGGTTGCTGAAGTATGGGCAGCAAACGATTGGCCTTCCATTAAAAAGGCRGTTTGTATAAACCAAATGATGGCAGACCAYGCAGAAAACGATGACGCGAGTGGCGGCTGGGAAGATATTGACGAGGACGACAATGGAGACAGCCAAGAACTCGCTGATGAGGCACCGATAATGCAAAAGAATKATCCCCAATATATGGATCAAAGAACCGCCGTTRAAGAAGAAACAAATGCAAAAAGACAGAAGTTAAATGAGAGTGAGGAAACGAATGGCRCGAATTGCGATCCTGYAAAGAGTGATTCTGAACAAGATAGCGACGAAGCCGATTCGTACATAGCATATCTGGATCCCGAACTTTTGGAAACCTTTKTGGAGCTCACCAAAATCAGATCCGATGCACTTCACGAGGGAACGGCATTTTTCTTGCTCATGACGTTCCCGTTTTATGAGCAAGAATGGGACTTGGTTGGATACCTGATAGAAGAGATATTTGGAGAGGAAGAGAAGGAATGATAAAAAACATTCCAATGCAGCAATGCTGTAGGTACCATTTATTTTTCATTTTGAAGAGAAAAAACCATTTTCATATTTTTTAATTGTTTCCGAAAAGCAGTGGCGTTAGAATCTCTATCTATTACAATACAGTTTTGATCTTTCTTCCTCGCTCTTCTGCGACCAAGGAAATACTATCGAATTTTTGTTGTTTTGAGCTGAAATGAAACACAGGAGCAGTGCGATCTTTCGCACTACAGCACTTCTTTCGTTTCGCATTCTTTCATCGCAGAGGAAGCAGTAGACTGTATCATCGCAGGTGCTTTCTTGSTCAATGTTACTGGACAAGCATTCKCGTTCGCGACAGCATCGGTGGTGGAATGGTCCAGCAAGACTTGCTCGTGCAGACATATCTTTCGTCCCTCGTCCCGCACGCGGTGCACAACATCGGAAACGGCGTCGCGAAGGACGTCTTGGTCGTGATCTTCGTCCCACACCTTGCTGTGGAGCAAAAACAGGACCAGCCAGCTGGGAAGGTACCACAGCGACGTCAGAAATACCTTTCGTGCGTTGGTGTTGGTRCGTTCCTGGCGAAACCTGTAGGCAACCCACAGTGCGTAGGAGTTGAGCGCAATTCCCTCCAGTGCAAACATGCTGCTCGTAACCCCCGCGGCGGTGGATAGGAATGGGATRGCGGAAAGGTAGGCGGCGTTTCGCAGGATCACCGCAGAGGTTCGTTCTCCGTCGACCTCGTGGCTGCTCAGCATGCAAAAGCCCCCTCGCTCGTAATCGACGCGGTACATATAGTTTAGGGCAAAAAAGTGCGGGAGCTGCCAGTAGTACARCGTGGATCCCAGGATGATCGCATCAAGGTCCAAGAGATTCCCCGAGGTTGCGGCGGTCCAGCCCATCACCGGCGGAATAGCTCCGACCACCGCTCCAACCCTTTGGAGTTAGTGAGGAAAACAACGCAAYATGGTCAGGCGATGAACTCGTCGTTGCGTATACTTYATTTCTATAGARCTGGATTGAACCTACCAGGTGTTGTATACCGACCGCGGCTTCATGTACGTGTAGATCCCGGCATACAGACCAATGTTCGTCAGGCCCAGGAGCGTCGTCACCGGGTCGGTACCCACCGCCAGTAGCGTCGTTCCACCGATGCCCCACACCGCCGCCGCCCGCTTGGCCTCGTCCACGGTCAGGGCCCCGGTCACGAGGGGCCGTTGCCGGGTTCGCTTCATGCGGGCGTCTTTGTCGCGCTCGTAGATCTGGTTCAAGGCGGCCGCCGAAAAGGAACAGAGGGCCGTCCCGGCCACGCAGCTSGCGGCCAGGGGCGCCTGCTCATAGAGGGGACCACCCGCGGCAACAAAGCCGGCCAGCGACGTCGTCACCACCAGGCCGGACAGTTTGGCCTTTCCGAGCTGGAGGTACGACGAGGCCTTGGACGGCGCGGTCTTTTCGGTTTTGACAGTGGCAGTAGCGTTGTTGTCGTCGTTCTTGGCCGCGGCTCCGGTCGCAGAAGAAAGTGGGCGCCGACGAGTGCGTTGGCTGCTGGGGTCACCGGTTGCGGCGTGAAGGTTTGTCCCTGTAGCCGTAGACGCRGAGGCCGAGCGCCACCGACGTCCCCCGCGGTGTACACCACCAATGGCCCGGTCACAGCGATTCATTTCACGGGTGRCATCACCTCGATTGCTTCGATCCAGCAACAGGAGAAGGCGTCTGTGGTTCTCGGCATTCCGCCGCAGCGTCTGAATAGAGAGCATGAAGTGTAATGTAATATAAAATTATTGTGTGTGTATTGTTGTTTTGTACGAACCAACGTGTAGACAGATCCAATTCGAATCAATTGTATTGTGCAGTACACTCTTATTCGAGTACTTCCTCACTCTTCTTTCTGATATTCCTTTTCGATAGATCCACCATCACCTCCCCAGGAATAGACAAWAGACAACTGTTGACGGCAGTTTTGGTCCTGACTCAAAAACAGGGATGCAGAAGGACTTGTTTCGTTACCCTGTGGTTTTTGATCTATYGAGATCACAGCCACTATTCGGTATGTTTTTTGCGATTGGCATACCGGTATGGCACTGTACCGGTACAGGAGTTCGAGTATGTACCGGTACCCCTACTCCCCAAGTACCGACTGTACATGTATGAAATGTACCGGCCGGCTGAAACTGGAGAAGCATTCTCGTTGTCTGATTGCAGCCGTGGTTATGAGCTAAGTGGAAGTTTGGAGTTTTCGGGAATTTATGCATTCAATTTTTAATTTCAAAAATTACTCTTCGGTTTTTCTTTATTGCGACAACAATTGCAACAATGATCAAATCCAAAATTGCAAAAATGACAACGACAATCTGAACGAGCTTCAAAGATCAAACGAAAAAGGACGGCACTGCCTACCATAATTCCAAAGCCGACCACCACTCTCACAAGTGTTTTAATTAAATATTTGAAAACAAGACGCATCCGAGATGGGGAGCAACCAAGGACTATTGTTTCTTATTGTGGGGAAGAACGAACCGCTGTACGAGGCCGAGATCCACAAACGACCCAACACCCCTGGGAGCGCAGATACCTCCGTCGCTCGCCAGTCCTATTTCGTGGTACATTCCTCTCTCGATCTGGTCGACAACGCGACATGGACCTCCCAAAATGTATGTCTCGGTGCGCTGTGCTGTGTTGTTTTTGTGGGGATGTGTGCAATTGGATGGAACGGAATCAAACGCACATGACAACTCTGTTCAGTGCGAATGCTCTGAAAATTCAAGTGTTCGCATATGAAAATGTTTATTGTGATTGCTGAGCACGAGATCTGTTCTTATGCAGAGTAGCTTGTCGTGGTTGGAACGTCGATTATAACATCAATTTGTTATTGTTCCGCACTCTACTCAATACAATGCATCGTCACAGCTCATACCTCTCTTTCTTTATTCACAAATGACATTGCGGACTGTAGATGTACCTTAGGGTGATCGACAAGGTAAGTCTATTCATTACTTGCTATTCGACCACTCATGGCAGCAGATACTTTTTGTTCGAAAACCTCTTTGAACTGTATCTCAAATTCTGCTGTTTGCTTTGGTTGGTTTATCGGCTTGTCTCCTTGTTCTCGATGTTCCTTCGTCCCCAGGTGAATCAACAATACGTATCAGCGTTTTTGACCGCTGGAAACATCAAGTTTTTGCTACTTCATCCAGGAAAAGGCGAGATCGAAATCAAGAATTTCTTTCACGAGGTTCACGAATTCTACGTCAAGGTATGTGCCATTGGTATAATTATTTTTTGAATTGCGTCGCASCGCAATGGATAGTCCGTTGTTCTTCCAAGTTYTACCTTTTCGRTGTTGCAACCGCGCTTAATGTTCTGTGTTTGTKTTCCTTTCACTTATTGCCGATTCTACAATCTACGTTCRTTKTGTCTAGCTTTCCATGAACCCATTTTACAAATACGATACACCCATCACGTCGAAGGAGTTTGACAAGAGGGTACGCGCGGTTGCGAGGCGAAATCTTTTCTAGTAGGAAATGACGCACAATTGTGGTTTGCAAAATCTCATGCTGAAAAGAATGGACGAATCATGGCATGGATGGTATGACACGAGTGTCTTGCCTTGTCGCTATTGGAACGGTYGTGTAGTGCGGCAAAAGCACTGGTTTCGCTTAGTGCCTGTTATGGTTTGCTCTCGACTCAGATTTTTCTTTGCCGGAAGACAATGGTATGCGCAGTGATTTTCTTTCGGCAAAACGACKATCCTCTTCCCTTTACGGATAGGAATACAGAAGAACCGTGTCCAAKAGCGATCCTCGAGAGGCTTCCCCTTCTATTCTTGTGTATTGCAAGCTGCAYAGGCTCGCAAGAAACGCAAAAGAGCGTTTTTGTATTAACATAATAGAGATTTTTGAAGTGTAMAAAGATCTGGATCGCATGACATTTTTCGCTGTAGTAGAGAAGATACATTCCAGTGTACGATACTGCTTCCCATASCAATACAATGGGAATGACCACGCGGGTGAACCAAAATGGCAATCAAGAATGGTAAAATGATGATATTTAGAATCCAATGCATGATTTGTAGAAGWKTCTCTTCTTAAAGGCTGCTGCAAAAGAAACACACTTGTCCATTTGCAGAAACAGATAGTAGCTACTACWAGCACCAATTCTAAATAAGTTCTCGATCAACAAGGAGTGGGATGGGTTGCTGTGATATGCTGGTTTCTGCATAGTAGGCTATCAACAGAAGCCCTAATAGCTACTATCCAATTTGTAGTTTTTKAACATACTAGTACTACTATCATTATTCCCTAGTTGCTTAATTAATTTTTGCATCTTTGAACCTAAATGATCACCTATTTCCTGTCCCTCCTCTTGATTTCCTCATACTGACCAGTAGACTCATCCCGTCTTTGACACAACTCTCACACTACTTATTCTTCTGCCATACCTATTCTGTGATGAGATGCCTATTCTGTGATGAGATGCCTGTTGTTCCTGTAGGGCAGTCAAGAAATTGGTTGGCAACCATGCCAAAACATGCTTAAAAAATTATCTACTAGTACTAGTAGAAAACAGAATCTTTGAGAGGTGGGTCCTGGGACTAGTACTACTAATGATGAAAGAAATGATGTTATTCTTTTGTTCCAGGTCAGATTCAATTTTCAGACAGCAGAAAATACAATATGCTGCAAATTGACACTCCTATTGCCTTCTATAACAAAGGCAGAAGAGGAGTGCTGCTGAAATCACCCAAAGCACCACTATTTCATCTCACAATGCAGGTTCAGGTATTAGCTATTGCTGGTACTTCCTCTGTAGATGACAGACAAAATTTAACCCAAAGAAATAGCTACAAAAACAAACAAGATGCCTGAGAAGTGCTTTGTATCATTTTTAAAAAATTGCTCTTATCATCCAATAGACCACCAGCCAATAATATGGAAGSATCAAACAGACCAATGCCATGGAACAAGGTATCAACAAAACTTTACACGCAGTACTGGAAGCTTTGAAAATATCAGACACTAGTACTAGTAGCACTAGTTATTTACAAAGTTGRATTTTTAGAACAACAACAACAACTAAGATAATACATAGCAGAGCTACAAGCAGAAATTTGTTGATGTTTTTGTTGTCAAAGTTCACCAAAAATCTATAAATTCACCAGCTGATTGTTCAAAATAAGAAAGAGGACATAACTCCAGGGGAACATTGGTAGTAATTGTTGGAACAAATAAAATATGAACAATGAAGAGCACTTTGTCATACATTTTCTCTCAGGGACTGCTGATGGCACTAGGAAATCAAACTTAATCCATTCTCTTCAGAATTGCTGCTGCATAATTCTTTGCAACAACAACRAAGATTCATTGGTAGTGAGCATTTCCTCCAACAGAATTCTTAGCACATTTCTTATTGCTGCTGGTGAACTTAAAAACAAAGCACAGGTTAAAGATAATGATGTAATCTGGCTGGGTGAGGTTTCATGATGATTTACACTAAGAACATATGGGTTGAAAGAAATATATGTTCCAAGAAGATATTATTACTCATGCAACATACAGCAATGCAGACAAGAAGTGCACAACAATATATGATGTCATATTTTCTGAGTGTCAGGCAAGAAAAATAATGGCAAATTGCCAGATTAAATTAGCATACTTGCAATCAACAAACAAGCTTACTACTTCTTTGGCCCCTGCTGCTACTTGTTCCAGGACACTTCAAATATTTGTATTAACTACATTTATCACACCTCCACAACCACTCTATGGAGGGAGGTGTTGTCCCTTGGGGTAGCTACTAGGAACATTCTCCCCAGAAGTTATGTTTCTGGCCCACATAGCACCTTTTCTAGTTCATAACAAGAAGGTCAAAAACAATACTAAGATGTTTAAGCAGCTTTAACAAACTAGTAAAACTTCAGATTGGCAGAACAAAATAATACAGAGGAGAGAGCATGTGAAGTTTTGTCAGAAATGATACAGCTTGTTACTGCTTACTATCTYTCATTAGATGCTGATATTGTTGTTGCAGGGGGTGGACCAAATCTTCCAACAGAATTCATGAGATGCTTACTAAATTGAATTTCAAAAGCCCATATTGTTGTCATGTGGTGCAAGACCATAGGTTTCAAAAAATTGAGCAAATTCAGCCATCATCACCATGTGTACATTTAAGTCTGTGAACATACTAAGAACCAAATGGTGCTGGATACCATGATTATAAAGTCATCAAGAACATTGGGGATTATTTTATTCAACATGTAGCAGTGTTGATGAGAAGATTGAATGGATATACTAAGTGCTTGAAGAAGAAGGCAAATGCAAAAAGGTGACAACTTCAACTTCACAGAACAATGCAGCAAAGGCCAAACTTTGAAGTCGTCCTCAAGACTATAAAAAAAATTCCATCAAAATCAAACATGTGAAAAGAAGGGGACACAGTTAACGTCTCAATTCCAAATTACCAATACTAACAACAAACAAATTAATAGTAGTACAAATACAAGAGCAACAACTGTTCACAAGTCAATACTACAATGAAGTTTTTGGAAATGTGTTCTTCCTCCTCATTTGTTCAACCTACTGGTGGATTTAAACCACCACAAGAAGCAATTGGTGGATTTATGGTCTGGTAGTGTTTGGTGTTCTAGACCGCTAATAGCTAGTGGTACCAAGAAGAAGATCTCCTCTTCTCTTTGTTGATCGTCTTGTTACAAAAACAAAAATGACAGGGACAGAATTGCTGGGACTCATAACAGATAAAATAGGAGGACATCAGCAAGACCAAATCAGGCAGCAAGTCCTCAACAACAATGAAAAAATGTTGGTGGTGCTGGTGGCGGTGGTGAATTTGAGGAACCAAAACAACAAMAAAAGTCAGAGCAGGAGGAGTTTCATTACATCAATTTGCTTCTTGTTCTTGTTGTTATTCTCACAAAATACTAGTAGTAGTAGTAGGAGGTTCTGTTAACTTTATTTTCTCCACACCCAAATTTCTCCCTTTTACATTCACCTGTTAGGGTACTATGGTAGTAGCAGCCCAAGCCAGTTACTACTACTAGTAGTACTACTACTACTACTAGTACTAGTACTACTACTACCACTACCACTACCACTGCCACCACTACTGCTACCACTACCACTACTGCTACTACTACGGTACGACTACTAGATGACGGTCACCATCTGCAAGGAATGCTTGATTGACTCGACTCACTCGACCTGGCTAGTTTTTGCTTCAACATGATGATTTTTGATTTTCTGAACGTGAACTCGTCATCATCATTGTAGTCGGTCAATGGCAACGAGGATGATATTCTTTATTTAGTCTCCATCCACATCAAATATCAGTAATACAAAGATGAAAGCAATCACCGTGGTCCTTCTCCTGTTCGTGTCTGCCCAAGAGATTCTTGGCTTCGTTACACCCGTAAGCGTTAGAAGTGCTGCTTCGAGACCGCTTTCTGCTGATCAATCGACAACCGACTCAATCGAATTTGACGGTGGATATGTCGGCACACCATTCGAACATCCTTCATCATTAGCTGGGATTGCAACCGGAATTTTAGGATTCGTTGGAAAAGCCATAGCAGAAGACGAATACGAAATTGCGGAGCTACCACCGGTGTGGGTTCCGGCTATTTTTGGCGTTGTCTTATTGATTGGTGTCGGAGTGTTGACTACAAGTCTTGGGAATGTCATGGAYGAAGGTAAGGCCGATTATTTTCTCATTCGCTTCTGATTTTGAATCTTCAAAACGATCTTTTWAGCTTGGCTTCCTAAACATTGATTCTSTTCACTCTTTCTGAATTATCAAATCACAGARGCGAGTTTGGGGATGCAGAGCGGAGCTCGTGCTAAGAAAGAGATCGAAAGAAGTCGATCATCATACTTTGGAAAGCGCCCAAAATAGAGCACAGATCAAACCGTGGGAAAATTTTCCCGCGAGGAAAAGAAACTTTCGATAGCAATAACTGTTGAGAACAATAACTAAGTTTTTGATATTCAATAAGTAGTATCTTTTATCACCCATTGATCATTGTATTCATGGATTCGATTGTGGYTTTGGCTTCTGCTGCGTTGTCTTGTGCTATTTTGTGAATTGCATCGCGCCACAGAACAGGCGACACCGTTGTGTCCCTAACSATTTTGACTCAACAAATCTGTGTATTTKTACTGAGCACCGCATGAGATCATCGGTAAAAGTCTGTTGTTTTCAACCCCGCTGCCTCCTTCTGTAAGATCCTTGCAACTTCTTCGAACTGAATTCGGTCAGCTGGATCCTGCGCCCAGCAAGATTTTAACAGTTGTTTCAGCTGCTTCGACCAAAACATCGACATGCGAGGTCGATGCTTCTTCCTGTGCACGTTCTCAAAAATCTCACTTGCGTACCAGTTACTAAACGCCTTTTCTAGACAAAGCACTTCGTACAGCAATATTGCGAACGAATATAMGTCAGCTTTCAGATTGTATGGCTCCTTCAATCCAATCTCAGGAGCCATGCTACAATAGTCGAGACAATCATCGAAATATTCATAAGTTTTCCAGCACAACTCATCACACTCAAGAATGGATTCACTGCTTGTCGGTTCTACGCAAAAAATCGGCAGATGGTTACTTACTATCGCGGACTTCCTGTATTTCCAGTSAGAAGAAATCTCTCGTTTTCATCCGTTGCAGGCGGAAGAATCTTCGCAAGGCCGAAGTCCAGAAGCTTTACCTTTTCTTGCAGAACTACGTATCCAACGTTGCTGAGTGAAATATCTCGGTGGATTACCCGGCGTTCATGCAGATACGCAAGCGCAGAGGCAAGGTCRCCCATGGCGACCAGACGTTCGCGAAGTATCGTGGTACTCGAATCTCGTCGACTCTTGCCAAACAAGCCGATCTCGGAGGACCTTTCGTACCATTCRTCCAGTTTGTGTGACAATGTTCCGTCCACGCGTTCCAGAACGAAAAAGACCGAGTCTCGCTTGCCGGTAGAGAATCCTTCTACKGAAGCAACCGATCGTCCCCGAATGGACAAAATATTTGGATGGTTCAGAGAGGCCAATAAATTTCCCTCTGTCAGGAAATCAGCCGCAGCCGTCGCAAAGAGGGATGAATTGATCAGAAGATTGCTTCGCAAGACTTTCACGACGTACTTATGCGCTTTGTTTCGTTTTATTTGYGCTGCCGCGTTTGCTTGTTCTCGKGTGTATGCCGGCCCATAGGTCTCGATGGCGGCATCGTCTTCTCCTCGTTGAAACGACTTGATCGTGTAAATATCTGCAAAGCTTCCGTTCGCAATTCGTCTCCCGAGGACGATTTCGGCGTTTCGAAACCGACCCAGGGAGCGCTCAAACGATTTGAGCGATTCGCGGAAATTATATGTGTTCGTAGCTTCACAGATTCGTTCTCCTAAAATTGCCATGCTGTGATCCATAACGCTAGCTAGTTCTTCGTCAGACAATCGACGATCGCGGTTGGTGATTTCCCCCCATGTCTCCATCTCATTCATCGAGGATTTTGTGGTTTCCTYGGAAACCTGGGGAGGATTTGTAGTCAATACTGTGGAAAGATATGCCAGCGTCTCTTTACGTTTCATCGCCTCCATTTCGATGTAAGACTCTGGTGGAATCTTTCGGTCGTTGACTGCGCTGCGCTTTGGAATCATTCTTGTTATCCAACGCCAAATCCGCCGTGAGTTTTCGTTTTTTGGTATTTCTTCGTGGATTCGATGCCGACAGAACAACTTAAAATACAGATAATGTTCCTAAGCATGCCGGTAGATTTTGAAAACAATTGAAAAGTATTTTCAAGAGGGATGCGCAAGCGAAAAAGTTAAGCCCCTTTGGTTTTGAAGCGTTTTTTTCGACAAACCATATTGTACGTGATTTCCCTGTAGAAACCTGAATCGCCAGAGTTTCACCACACCACAGAACGTTCGAACGCATGGGGGTATCGGTGTGAGACATTAAACACTCCACAATCACGAGTAGATAGTGAATAACCTCACTCTTTATTGTAAACCACGTATTCACGTACCGTACACTAAGGAAGTATTTCACAGGTTATCGTCATTTCAATGCCGTTTTCTTGGAGAGAAGAAACTGGAAAAGAACAGAGGCATAGTGGTATCACTACTATGCCAGTGCTTTCGGTACAGACTTGGCTGTTTTCCCAGTCGTGTTCTACAAACGACTGAATGAGTCCCGGTCTCCACTTCCTGACCTTAGAGCTTCCTCTTACAAAAAAATACGGACGATGGATATTCGATCGTAGACCGTCAATCAAACACAATCTGTCATCGTCACTTGTCAACCATCCCCATCCGAAAAGCTCTCGATTTTCTGATGGACGTCGCATCTCCATCAAATCATAGGTGAGAAATATGGGAAGAAGTACCGATGAACGCAATGTTGCACAAACAAGCGAGAATGTTGCCACCTCCGGAGAGAACGACATAGCAACTACCAATAACCWCAACAACCACACGATGGCACGTCAACCGCAACTCACATCCACAACGAAAAAAGTCTCGCTGCACCTTTCGAAAGAGCTTCGAGAATTCTACAAAAGCCACGACATTGATTTGACGAAACTAGCCGACGGTGCCGACTTTCCGTACCGCTACGTCCGACTCAATCCACGTTACGACAGAAYACAAACCCTAGAGATGCTTCGAAAAGAGGTGCGAAAGCTTCGRGACAACAACAGCCACGGCTGCGGGGACGGATCCGATTGCAATAAGGACAAGGWCACAACTTCCACCCAAAATTCGAGCGGTGTCAAGGGTGTACCGTGGCTGGAATCGCTCTGGGGCTTTTTTGCAATCCCCGCGAGCTTTCGGCTCTCCGCCTCGCATTGCTTTCGGACGGGGCGAATTTATGGGATGGATGTCAGCTCTGGAGCTGGGGTCGCTGTTTTGCTGACAGACCACCATGATAAAATCACTACTGTCTATCCCGATTCTTCTTGCAGTGATTTAAGTGGAAAGCTGAGGACTACAGAAGAACGAGCAAATAACTGGAATGCTAACAAAAACGACACAAATGGTGATAAGAATAGAGAAGTGCGTATTTTGGATTTGTGTTGTTCTCCCGGACTAAAACTCCTTCAAATGGCTGATTTCTTCCACGGAAAAGATTTCATCAACTCTAGAGTCGATGGTGATGCCGAAGATGGTATTTGCGTTGRTGGCGTCGGCCAGAAACAACGATCTGTCAAAGTCGTTGGTGTGGACATTTCCAAGCATCGATTAGACATATGTAAAACCATAGTCAACAAATACTTCATCGACCCGGAAACGTCGGGATCAGGAGAAAGAAGCAAGAAATCCTTACCGGCAAACGTGAAAATCCAGCTTTATAACGAAGACGGAACCTTGTTTGGAACGAAAGGCAGCAGAGATGGCAGAAACCTGATATTTGATTCAACGGTGGCCACCGAAGAAATGATGCAGCGCGGAGGAAAACGCAAACGAATGAACAAAAGTGCGCGGGCACGAGAAAAGAAACGACTGCGGGAGATCGCATTCCTGGAGTGCGTGTCGGCCACGAGTGATGGAAACGACTCGCACAATCCACCGGATGCMGACCACACCAATAGCAACACGGATGCTCAAKATGTATGCATCGATGGCTTTGATTATGTTTTGGTAGATGCAGAGTGCAGCACGGATGGCTCTTTCAAGCACGTGAAGGAACGAATCAAGGGGTCATCRGGTGGTCATTACCGAGAAGAAAACACGATGCTGACAGACCCTGCCAAGCTTGCAGAATTAGTCGATTTGCAAAGAAAGCTGGTCGCTTCTGGCTTTAGATTGCTGAAAGACGGGGGAACACTCGTGTATTCGACGTGCTCGCTATCCGAGGATCAGAACGAGAAGGTCGTTAAGTGGTTGCTTGAGACCAATGAGGATGCCTTCCTCATACCCGTTCATTTCCCTTCCATAAAAACCACGAAATTCGTCACGGACGGCACGCTGACAGGGACCGTTCGCTTTTATCCAAACTTGCTTCACAACCCCGGTTCCTCGGAGGCGCTCTGGGGCGACGGTTTCTTCGTGGCAAAACTCGGGAAAAGAACCAAACGCATTAAGAAATAGCAACAGAATGTCCTACTTTTGGGTTTTTGCAGCATTTCATTTTTAAAAATGGAACTAGATTTATTTTGCCCTCATTGGAAGATTCAGTATGATGTCAAAAGGAAAGTTACTTTTCAGTTCTGGTTTTCGAATCAGATTGTTAGCAATAGTGCATTCACACAGCATCATGTCGATCATTAATTCGCATTCGAAGTTTTGGAACCTAACCGTCCCGGATCTGCACTGGGGTAGTACGGTTTCCTGGAGCCTACCACGCTCTTCGCGGCATTTGCTCCTACCMTGCGGATGGGACCGCCTCCGGGCCGAGGGAMACCGCCAATTTGTGGTCCGTTTGTAGCTTTGTTTCTTCTCGCCGCAGCGATAGCTGCAATGTGTGCCGGTGGCTTGATTGCGGTGGTGAAGCCCTTCGGTAAGCCCAATGGCTTTGAAACACCACCCGGTGGAGCCATGGGCTTCACAGCGACCGGAGGCTGTGGAAGGCTTCGTCTGTTCTCCCCATGCTTTGCGACGTCGGCATCACCCCGCTTGGGCGATCGAGCCCAGTTCACCATTATCTCTCTATTTAGGAGAGATTGTCGATTCATGCTAGCGATAGCCAGTTCCGCAGCGTCTGGTTGGGTGTACTCWACAAATGCTTGGCCTTTCTCCGCTTGGATCCGAACGGACGATATTTCCCCAAACGAATAGAATTTATCGCGAATGTCTGGCTCTGTYAATTTGGGATACGGAGCATCCCCTTTGAACCGTAGATAAAGCGTCGCACGCGACTTGTCGAAACCACTCTCGTCGGATTTTGCGGCCTCTTGTTCCCTCCTTCGCTGCCGTCCGAGAATTTTATTTGCCACGGGATCGCTTGATCCGTAAAAACGGTCCTTTGTGTTCTGCTTYGACATGGGATCATTTCGATCTTTCGGTAGCTCGTGACGAAAAGGACAATTTGCACCCCGGTTGCATTCCCCCCTCGCAAAGAAACTACACAATTTCGCCATGTTTCGTTCGTAACGAGGTTTCATGTTTGCCATTTCCTTTAACTTGGCAACAGCCAAMGCATTCGCCTCCCCGACCATGTTTTGTCCCTGTGCCAGTGCTCTTTCTTGCTGTGCCGTATACCACGCTCTATTCGCCCCGGACTGGGGGACAACCGCRCACGCGTTGCCGCTTCCCGCCTCGGCTAGAATCCGATCCCTCACCTTGACCGGAAGCCCGTATTGCAGGTCGTAGATGCAAACCTGACAGACGTTCTTGGCCTGCGCACAGCTTCTGCAAATTTCTACCCTTTTCAGCCGACCCTTCGTTCCGGCTTGCCACGCAAACACCGTGAAGGGCGTCTCACAAACCTGGCACTTCTTTCCGAATTTTTCTTGGGTCATTCGAACGTACGGGTTGTCTCCGAGACAGGTCTCGCACACCAACGGAAATTCCGTGTCCTCCCATTTCTGTTTATTGTCGTCTCTCTTAATCTTCGACATTTTGGATATGTAGTATTCTAATCTTTTGTGTGCTTGGYCGTATCGTCCAACAATCGCCCAGCTTCCACTGTCAAATATTTGCTTGACGAACAAACAACACCTTTCACTTCTTAAAACTACCGGTACGGGTACGTACGTACCGTGGCTACATTGGCAGTCGTTCTTCCTTCGACTTCGATAAAAATTGAATTGAAGCTATTACGAAGTACATTCATTCGTGGCCGCAAGCAATAATTCTCTGCGCGAACACAAACTATCGCGCAGGACTTCGAGCTACCGGTAGGTGGTTCTCCTTGCGAAAATAACAATAGTTATTAGGGTTAAGGTGACTTATTTTGATTTGAAATTCAAAATTTCGACGTATCGAAGTTTTTCAATCTTAAGCACAACGAGGTACGGTACTCGTAGAGGCACCCGAAAAATGACGACCATACATTAGTAACGTGCATGCTGATGGCAGTTGCATCGTGTCCTGCATCACTCACGACACTGCCTGCGATTCMCATCATCACTCCTCCTATACTGCGTGTGATTCCCATCGTCGTCACTCCTCCTCGATGGCCATGGACAAGACGCTTAAGGTGATTTTTCTGGACATCGACGGGGTTCTGCTMCCGTTCCCCAACGAAGGAAACACTGGCGACGGCCTCTTTCCGGYCTCCACGTTGGAACCCCTGCATTGTTTGTTGAAGGAAACAGAGGCAAAGGTGGTCCTTTCCTCGACATGGCGTGTGCGAAAGGATTTTATTMAGGACATTGTGGATAGCGTGCAAGGCTTCRGCGTCGACTTCGAAGGATTTTTCGACATCACCGATCCAAAYATGCATTCGGAACGACAATGGGAAATAGAGCACTGGATATCGAAGCAACGACGAAACAAGGCTTTCGGGAAGATTGTTTGGCTGGCATTAGACGACGAAGAACTGATCGAAGGCGACGAAAATGCGAGGTTCAAAGACTTGTTTACGGGGCATGTAATCAAAACTAAGAGTGMCAAAGGATTGACAATGGATGATTTTCACGAGGCCGTGAAACTCTSGAAGCTGCAGCTTTCCGAGACTGACAATTCGAAATAAACAGATATCCTATGAGATCTATGAGYAAGAGAACCATGGCGGCATTGAAAATACCGCTTCTCAAAGAACGACTGGCGGATGACTTGTCAAAAAGAAGCACGGTCATTGAAATTTGAATTCAATTTGAGAACTGGATTCAGTTTGGACACAAATGATTGCCTAAGTGTCGCGCTATATACCAATYCCAYRCTCGCGTTTATGCTACATATGAAAGCCACAAAGCAGAATGAGGAAAAGATGACATGGAAAATCGTTTTGTGCATTGTTTGGGATCTTCTTTCCTTTTGGCATCTTCTTTTATCCTCGGCTCGAAATCGGAAGGTTGGAATTTTTAGGTCTCACTACACTAAGCCCACGAAAGAATCGATATACTTAGTACTGTAAGTGGCAAGTTGTGAATACCGATATCTGGTGTGGCTCTTTTCTCGAGCTGTGGGTCGTAGATCTAAAAAGGAATGATACGATTTTATCTATTACGTACATATTCTAACTTTGGTAAAGTACATGTTATCGTACACTACGTAAAAGTTCGGTTATCGGTACTTACGTCCTGAGGTACTAAGTACCGTTACGAGTCTTACGTCGGGTGTGGGTGTGATGATATTTGGAAAAATTCCAATCCCGCTTTCGTTAATTCTTTCTCGTTCCAAGACCAAGGAAGCAAGACTGCTCACATTGTATTCATGCTTACAATAGAATGCATCGATAATATTGTGAGCTTGTGAGTAGGTGTCAGACACAAYTCTATCTAAAATGCAGACAACTCCTGGCATACTGTGTCTTTTCTTATCAACAGTATASAACACAATGGCACTCAGGGCTTTTCACAACAACCCGGGGATTGGAGGTTTTGGTGAAAGCACCCCAGTTCTCCTTGACGACATAACCGTTGGTACGCACCGCAAGCGCAACGACCGGACGACTTCCTCCAACGGCAGGGATCCAGTGCTCGGACGACACACCTCAAATCGTGACAATGGTGCTTCGGATGCGAGCAGCATGGCGAMCAGCAACGTTGGAAACGGGGACCTGCTCTGCCAAATCGTGAAGGAACTCGTGGACAACGCTGTTGACGCTTGCCGGAGTCCCCGTTGCTCCGACGAAGCGGAATATTGCAAYSGGTGCGACGACTCACCAAATACAAGTGAAATTAAACCGAAGAAGCGAATACGGGTGGACATACGACCTCCCAAGGAGCAGAGAAACCGTCACGGTGGGCTTCTCCAAATCACTGTTACCGACAACGGATGTGGAATGGAGAACATACAGCGTTGTGTGGATGCCTTTCAAACCAGCAAGGATGGGAACCAAGAGGCAAGTAGGTCCAAGGCCGGCAAAGAAAAAAGGAATCGCAACACCAATGCCAAGAACAATGCTGGCAATGATCCCGGCAGCTTGAGCAGCCACACCAGTGGACGATACGGAATTGGCTTGACGCTCTGCCTATTGCATGCGCAGCGCTGCGTACCGAATTCCAGGTCCTGCATTTCCTCCGCAACCCCACGCTCGAAGCATCGGACTCGTGCCTTCTTCGAGGTCRATAAACWGGGAGATTYGGTAGATTGCGTTCAAGAAGAGGTCTCCCGTTCCGGCAGCGGATCCGAGGGGCCAGAATCGGGGACCTGCGTAAGTCTCTTGGTACCGGTACGTTCCCTACTAGTAGGTTGTGTATACGTTGCACCCGAGTATTTTGGATCCGTGCGATGCAGATCCGYACTTTCCTTGGGTCGTCTTCTCTGATACACCGCGATTCTTTTTTGGCTTCGATTTAGGGCGGAAAGGCCGCAAAGGTAGCTTGGCCAAGGCTGTGTGACTACTTTACTCGCTTTCGACTCTGCCCACAGCTCCACTTCGAACTCGATGTCTTTGCACCAACTYTCTCCAAGCTTCCAATCTTTGTCCGTCGTCTGATAGTCAATCCAAGAGCGACGGATCAAAGCACGGAAAGAAGTTATTGCCCCTCAAAAAATGCCGACCCGTGGGAGGATCTGATGGACGACGAGAACGGCGAAGACGACGACCATCTAGCCGATGAGAGAAAGGAACAGCCCAAGGATGATCCGAATCACACCAGTAYCACAACTTGCCAGAAAAAAGATCTTGATCGTCTAGCTTTTTTTCGTGCCGCCAAGATCTATTGGCCGAAACGCAAGATTGAATACCAGAACGTCGCTCGATCGGTTCACAACATCAGCAATCGCGGTCACGTGCCATTGGATGGAAAGGAAAGAGAGAAAAACCATTCTGAGCTCAAGATAGAAATATGCATGGTCGTTTGTCCCCATCACCGACAAGACCAAAATCTCGCTTCCTCTATCGATTCTGCTCACAATAGTGCTTCCACTGRGGACGAGGTTTCTGAGACCGATGCTTTTGCAGTACAAGACCATACGGCAAGCTTGCAACTCGTTCGGATGGTCAATGGAGTTCCGATTCTAGACAGTGCMGAGGCACATTCTTGTGGCCTTGTCCATGGCCTCGCCAACAAAATTGTATGGGGATCGTTTGGACTCGATATCGAGAGGAACACAACGGTGGCTTCCGACGCTACGGCTTTGGACYCATCAGATGTATCATCGTGCACGCCAAGATTTCATTTAAGAGACAGCAATCTTATAACTCCATTCATCCGCAGAAATCTCAACCACAAGCAACTAAAGGCCGACGATCAGCAAACGATYGGTGGTGACTGYCTTCCGGTGGAAGAGAAGAAAAAACGAAAGATGGACATGCTTTCACAAAACGACATTCTTCCAGCAAACGTTCGAATTGGTTCGATGCTTGTTGTCGTCCACATACGWGCGGCTCCGTCTTCCTTACCTCTACCAACCCTTAGTAAGGTGAGTGCATATATTTGTTTGCTTGCCTCTTTCTTTGCTTTCGCWCGTCTGGTTGCACAGAGAAAGCATTGAGAGATGGCAGTGAAAGTAGCACTGACCATTCCCTTCATTGCCCTTTTCAGGGACGACTTCCTCTCAATCACGAGCCCATCGACTCGGCCCTGCAACGGGGCTTGCGTGAGTGCCTCTCGARTCTGCAGTCTACGAATCCGACGCTGTTACTAACTACCACGCAACTGCGTGCGGTAGAAAGAGAGGTCCGGTTCATTCCGGGGATTGCATCCGCCGTGTCTCGCATCGTGTGCCGGAGCAGCAACGAGGTTCTGCGACGCAAGAGCCTAGGAATCTTCCAAAACGTGGGCTGCGTAGACAAGGATTGCGATTCAGAATCGTCCACGATCGWAGAGGAACTGCATTGCGGACGAGAGGACMTAAAGGTYGGCGCCTCTTCACTTGCTACCGCGTTTGAAAGTCGGCTCCGACTGGCAATGAGAATCAAGAACGAAGCAATGAATGCAAAAAATAGAAGAAGCAAGAAGAAAAGAGGCACCGTCGCAACAGATCGTGACATGGACAAGGAAGAAGAATATCTGGATTTTGACAGCGACGACGAAACCTATAGCATAACGAAGTTGCCTCGATGTTCTCCGGTAGACAGCAAGCCCGGCTCGATCTCTCTGTGTTCTTTGTCAGGAGAACCAGACCATCGGTTGCTTGAAACAGATTCGGATGTTTCCTTCAAATCGCTTGTGCCTGTACCACGGCATAGAACAGATGCAGGAGCCAAAAAGGAGCTCCCTTTGAGTGAAATTGTAGTTGGGGATTGGTGCAATCGAGCCGTCAAGGGAGACAGAGACGAGGATGGTTTCGATGATTGGTGGTAGATCGCAATGTTTTGTTTGTGCATCATTTACCTTCTGACGGCTTAGTTCCTATTTCCCATGGAAAAGAATGGAAATCAAATATTATTCTTTTCTTTTCGAATCTAATGTTTTCAATTATTTTAGAGCTTTTCTTGCATTTTTAAAAAAGTCCTCGGCAGCCATGATTCCAACGCGTGCTTTCAAAAATGGAGGGAGGATGCTGGCATCAACCTGGGATATGCTGATCAAATCTGATAGACCTGGTCGACCGGGAACAGGTCGMATAATGTTTATCCCRATGATTACTTCATTGTTGCCGTTTTGACAAAGTTTTCCGGAATCGACTAGATGATTACCAGCTTCTCCACAGCTGAGTGAACGACTGAATATGACATAACCGTCTTCGGGGCTCTCGCCTAGAAACTTAGCGCACATCAAAGCAGAAAGACGGACACTCATTTTGGTCATCGGTATCTTTGTCTCGCTTTCAATGATTTTTGCACCGTAAAACCCATTTGTCGTGTTATTCTCATMGTCAAAGATAGAAAATTTGTCTTCGCGGCTTACGCAGTGYTTGTTGTACTCATTTGTCCTTTTGCTATCCCACAGTAAATTTAGAACGTCTTCAGGCWCTCCATTCACAATACCTCGGGCGTAGAAAAAAGGATTTTCACTTCCGTAATACTTCGGTCCAAGATACTTTCCAGACCATGTGAGTACGCGGCTGCAGAGCGCGTCGTAAAATTCGCTTTCGGATAGGTTTTTCAAYCGTTTGTAATCTTTCTTTGTCTGRCCCAATGCTTTCCAATCTATTTGAATAGACATCTTTTGSGCAGGTTCTTCTCGATTTGCACTAGGTGACAGATCCGAGACTGCTTCATTCGACGATTCGATCTCAATGGAACGCACACTTAGCAGTGCGAGGGCATCAGATACAAGTTGTTCATCAGARAAATCCTCGTGTAGATCTACGCARACGATATGTGATTCTGATTCCRATTCTRAGGCTTCTTGCGGCTTCATAGTTAGTTGAATGTCTTCCACCCGAAGAAGAAGTATGGAAAATTTGGTTTTTGTTGTCTGCGTTGCCCAAAAGTCCGTATCGACTGAATAAACTGCCTCGGACGCTGAACTTCTAGTAYAATGCCGTTCTTTGKARCGTTGTCCTGCACATTGTACTGAGTCCGAATGTAAATCTAATCGTAAGCGTTCGAGAAAGTCGTCTTCATCGATGTTATTGGTRTCAGTGATTGYCGACTCTGATGTTTTCTTTATTCTGGATAAGGATTTGTATTCATGTATTTTCGGAGTAGTTGGATCTTTTGTCATTATMAATGGATTTTTTGGTATTTTCACTGTCTGGCTGACAACGAGTGGAACCACGTTATCACAGAAGTAGTGCAAAACGTTGCTGCCTTTGTTGAATAGTAGATCAGTAGCGGTAGCAGTTGCCTGGATGGGAAGAGTAACTGGAAGTAGAGCTGTGTGTACCACTAAACCGCCTACATTCTTTGCAACATCAATCGTAGACTGGGTAGCTGATGCTGCAAGCGCATTGCTAGAATTTAGAAACGAATCCATTTCTTTTGATTTGGCCAGACAAGCAAACGATTCGACTAACAAGCACGTTGAACGGAAATAATGAAAAAATATAAGAGGTCGTGAGCGAGTTTCCAGCTTTGCGTATTGTGCATGTCCCTTTTTTCGCACCAAAATATACTCACGCCATGCACCAAGAGACTCGGATAATGTGTAATCTTTTAAAGTCGAGCTTCTCRCGGACAATGACGCCATCGACGACGGCGCTCTACACTGTGATGGCTCCAGTGGGTCTGCATTTTTTGTTTGCTTCTCGTCCTCCTTTATTGGTATTTTCCCGTTATCTAGTGTTAGATCGTCGTCGTGAAATATATCCGTAAGTTCMGATATTTCGGAAGGGGCCTTTTCGTCCAGTYGATCCAGGGTAGTTTCTGTGTCAGTCCGCGAGAAGCGTCTCAGTGCATTGCGTGGGTTTTGTTTTCTCAGCCTCTTTAAGACATTGGCCACGCGAGATCTTGCCGGCCGTCTCGTCTGTAGATCTGTCGGCCCGGTCACCTTAGTAGGGATGACTGTTGGMAAGTTGTCAGGTGYTGCTATCGCTATTTGTTCCGCCATCCTTGAGGTTGGAGTCTCTYTGATGTATGGTTCAATTTATTCCAAAATGCGTRGATCCGTTGTTTGTTATCGTTCTCCTTTTCCTGTTCCGAACCCTTTTTGTTCGATTTCTTGCCAAGGATTAAACAAAAGCCTGGCCGAAAATTTCGATTTTTTTATTGCCCATCGCGCGCCACGCTTGTAGGCAAAGGCGCGTCATGGACAACACAAAACGCAGAAATGTTGAAAATATAACCTTAACCTTAATATTTTAAATTGGTATAGTTCAAAAACGACTAYTAAAAAATATTGCTCGTCTAGTTTTTCCTTTTTTCCAGTACGTACTTCATTAGTGTCGTAKAACAAACTATCAATTTAGACTACTTTGATGTTTTGTGCAAAGATCTTTCCAAGATACAGTGCTTAGTTGAGGGGAGCCGTGGCTTTTGTTAGATTTCTCAGACATTCTTGCACGTTCGACGCTATTTTTGAATCCAYACATTCGACTCGAATCTCCGCAATACCCCCCGATGCATCAGAAAAGGAAACATTGGCTGTACAAGTGAGTGGTTCGTTTTCGTCAACGAGTCCCGACGCTAGACCAGTATCCGTCGTGATTTCATAGGATGCAGAATCTCCTTCGAAGACCGTTTCGACCTTTCCAAACTGATTCTTCAAGGTTTCATTAATCAGTCGCAGTCTGTTTTCGGTCGAGCTCAAGTCGTCGTATCGAGCTTTCTTGGAAGACGATCCATCGGTCTCWTCTGGTTTGCCGTGTCGACAGGGCTTGCTGCTCAAACGAATCGATGCTGCACTGGTTTGAGCTTGCATAATAAGCGCTATCAGTGCGTCAGCAACGACGTCTCCGGCTGGGCTCGCATCCCACTCTAYAATAGCCACTCTCTCTGTTCTTCCAACACAGACGGTAACCTATGGGTGAAGTATCAGCATTGCATACCAAAGGTATTGAACAATTGAGRAWYGGGCTGAAAGAGAAAATTCAGATAGCAACACTTAGCAATAACCTTTCTTCTTACCTTGTCTTGGTAAAAGCTGAATTTATGGCATGTCTTTTCGCCATCTTTGTCTTCCTCGACGATAGTTTGTTCGACCACACCGGCAAACATTTCCGAAAGGAAGAGTCGGAGTGTTTCAATCGAACCCGAAAAAGGCACGTGAAGCTTAGAGGAAATCGACCCGACCCGYAGAGGAGTATAGGTGGCCAAGTCGTCGGGCTTTACAATTTTGCTCGAGAAATTGTGTGTCACGAGTACCCCCTGAACCTCTTCGCCCTCTTCTGGTTCGCCCCCCCTTGTCGCCAAAGACCCCATTACCTTTGCCGAACGCCGCCGAGCAAATTTCAGTGAAACGGTCTGAAGATTCGGAGGCATTGTAATTGTGGGCCTCTTGTTCTAAATAGTTTTTTCAAGGTCAGGAATGTTTGGAACACAATACAATTCGTGTCAGATTTGGTTAAAATGAACATCCGAACGAAGGAACGAAAGGAACTAACGAATAATCGTACCACCCGAATAGATTCATTTGATCACTTACTTCAGCAACTTTTCGATACTGGAGCAGCAGGGCACTTTTGAGCCTACCCATTTCATCCTTTTGTCCATGGACGAGTATGATGTGCTTCGGATCKACCTGCGTAATGAAACTTCGATTCTGTACAAAATCAACGTGCGCYGCGAAACTAACGTAGTCTACGAGGCAATTCAGCGGCTGCCGCMGTCCTTCCAGAGTTACCACTTCCTGGGGCTGGTTCAGAATCTCTTTCGCTAGTGTGTGTTCGACGGCATACCCAGCAATCAAGACACCATTTTTTGGATCAGCTGCCCATCGATCGAATAGTTGTCGCGAAACCCCGCTCTGGAGCATACCGGGCGAGGCAAAGACGACGGACGGTCCAGAATCGTTGAAGTTGTTAACATCGATTGATTTCAGGTTTTGGATGTGCTGAAAACTGAAGGGATTGCTCACGTCCATTTGTGATCGTATCCTACCGTTCATCATATTCGCATATGTTTGAAAGACTCGGAGCGCCCTGCTGGCAAGTTTGCTAGCGTACCACACGGGAAYATTTTGGAGATGCGGGTTTGCCTGCCAAAACTCGTCGAGAATCAACAAAAGTTCCTGCGCTCTTCCAAGGGCAAAGACCGGGATCAAGCACCTACCCCCTCGGCTCACGATGCGTTCCACCGTCCCCGTGAATCTCGCTTCTCGTTCCGCACGGCTCGCGTGTACCTGCACCCCAAAGGTGCTTTCACAGATGAGAACGTCCGGCTTCTTTTCCGGTATCTCGGCGGCCATCAAGTGACGATCGTCTTCCATGCTGTAATCCCCCGTATARAGTAACGTGCGYCCCCCGATCTCCATAAAATACATGCAAGCGCCCAGGACGTGGCCAGCATTCAAGGCGTGAAAGCTCAGACCRCCCACCGTGACGGTTGTATGGTAATCGATTAGTTCTATCTTGTCCATGCAGGACATCAATTCGGCTTCCGTCCACAAGACRTCTTCTTCCTTTGCGTTTCTCATTTGCAAGAGTCGGATGTAATCGCCGAGGAGCAACCGAGTGACGGCCTTGGTGGGATGTGTCATGAAAATTCTTCCCTTGAACGACGTTCGTTCTGTGAGATATGGGAGGGAAGCGACGTGGTCGAGATGAAAATGCGTGACCAACAAGACGTCGATCTGGTCTGGTTCTACCTGATCGAGAAAGGGAAGGCCGTTGATGCCATCGTATCCCGGATGAATGCCGATATCAAGCATGATTGTCATGTCACGAAACTGCAATAGATGACAAGATCGTCCCACTTCCTGGCCGGACCCCAGAGGGGTTATTCGCATAACATCCTCCATGGTGYTCTTTYTGTATTCCTTACGCGTTCTTCCCGTGAATATGTGGTGTGGTTACTGCTTCGGGTGGTTCTATCTCTCTGTCCAGGATGCTGGGCTCTTTCCAATCTTTGCTGGATTTATGGTCCGACCGTGATGAGAAGTGATGGTATCAGGTACCATTTCGTACGGTTCGTACTAAATCTACGGGTACCGGCCGGTAGTACGAGGGCAAGGGTACTCGCACTCGTATCGAAATGAGAGAGGGACCTGGGATGATTTCGAACCTTTCATGGTGATAATTTTGGGGTGCGAGTGACGAGTACGGGTACTTTACCATACCGTACGTACCGGTACAATTCGTAGACTAAGCCATGACAAGAAATAGTCCCAAAATTATTAATCGAAGTAGTCGTAGTCTCGTCGTCACGACTGGTTTCTGACACCGTTTACTGCAATTCGAACGAAGACCTCTTCGAATTATTTGAGAGCTCTTCGAGACGACAAAATAAGGGCTTCATACTGCWCTGTYAGTGGATTGGAACTCACGSAATATTCATTCCTACCTTGGATTATCGTCAGACCTCTGTTCAATGAACCGTGACGAGCTTCGTCGGATCGAGGATGGTCAACCCTAACTTTGCATCGCCGTTGGTTGCAGAGGCTGGTGAGAAGGAAGTCCCGAGCCTAGGAGGGACAGCTTCGTTGGAGCCATCCAGGAACAATGAGCAACAATCGTTCCTCGAACAATTGATCGAGCAATCCACTTTRGAACAGCGAGGGGATTATTTTTCCGCCTCCGCACTATGGAACGACACCGTTGTCGGTAGCTGGGACCAAAATACGTTGCCTTCGGCGTCGCTTCAGCCCCAGATGCCCTTGCTGTCGACAACTGATGCTGATTCTAATGCCGAACCGAAAGCATCCCTGTTGACCCTCGCGGCTACCACGTGTTGCCTCTTGCAAGTGGGCTTTACCTGGGCTTCCTTTTTGTCCCCGTCCTGGTTGGACACTCGTTTTTTTGCCGACGTTGRCGTTCCATCGATACGAATCAAGCCGAATCAAGGCCAGCTATTGCATTCGGCAAGCCTGGGGTCGATGTTTGGAGACATACTCGGCGCCGGTCAACACTGGGCAGGTGAGCTGATCTGATTCGTTTCGTTTCGTTTCACGTGATTGTTCCGTCATACCGCTTCGTGTCGTGTTAACATGAACCATGATGCGTTGCCTTTATTTTCGAAAAATATAGCAGAGCATTGAGATAGAAGGTCATGAATGGCTTGGTTAAAATTGGTGGTTACTCAAGATATTGGAGTAGTTCTCACTGCTGCTTTTGTTTGCAATTCAATATTGTCCACAGCCATTGCATTTGTCTTGACKTCACTGGTATTGCCGTGCCTCTGTRTAATCACYGGGGCCGCCTGGATTGCGGAAGATCGGAAGGAACGAATCAGAATTTTACGKKCAATTGATATTTCCAAAAACAACAACGCGATCAGTTTTCGCAGAAGATTACGACGTTACAATAGTGGTCAAAATTGTTGGTCATCTCCGAGACTATTTGTRGAATACATTGCGAGAATTGGAGTTTCGGTATTGTTCGTAATATATATAATGGAGATTGGAACCTCGCCCCTTACAATAGAATTCATGGGTTCCGAACTCATCGTGGTCAATCAAATCAAGGGAGGGATGGCTGCATATACSTTGGGTATGATTTGCAGTCTTTTCGTAATAGTACTTCTACGGCTGGATAAGACAACTATTTACGGAATCCACGAAYCTATGTGTTGTGAACAAAACGAACAATACCATGTWGAGAAAACGCGGAGCAACCTTGAATTTGAATGGTCCTGGGATGTTCAATCGAATGCATTGTTTTCTGCTTTGAGGGGCACAAACGCAACAACGAAACAAAGAAAGGCTAGTAACGATGAACGAGAAGAACTSAGTTCACCGTTGTTGCAAAATGAATCGTGYACTGGCGACCACGCGGAARTTGATAGAAGAACTTGGACTTCGATTATCGATGGAGCTGCTGAAGAGACAGATGATCGCACAGCCGAAAGACATTCTCTCAAGGCAGGAGTATTGCCTTTTTGGAAACGATTTTTCTTGTACGAACTGGGAGTGCTTTCCACGGTGCTTTGGCTACCGGCTCTTTTTGTGCCACTCTTTCAACTGGATTACGGGGGCTTCGCGTCGGAATTCATGCCAGAAGTTTCAATGTCGATTCGACTTGTAGACATCCCAGTGGAGCTCTGGGAATGCGGAACGGCGGCTGGGACATCGCGATTCATACTAGTAGTGGTGGAGATTCTATTCCTGTCGTTCGTCTTCCTTGGTCCGATGGTAGCAAATCTATTGGCTATCGGAGCCTGGATATGTGACTCGCCGTTCAGGATTTCTTGCAAAAACGTCCTTTGGATACTACAACCGTGTCTCGGTTCCATCGTTTTTGTAGCCGCGGTGTTCGTTTCTGTTCCGGCTTTTGMGATAGTCATGGAATATGCTATCGACAAATTTGCTTCTCCAGTGTGCGATTCTTTAAAGTACTATACCTCAGACAATTGCTTCACGATTCATGCGGAACCATCTATGGGCTTATGGTTTCTCTTGGGAAAAGCTCTCGCCTTGGAGATATTCGTCCTTTTTACCTTGTCTATTGAGACCCAACGATATAGATAGTCTTCATCAACTACAGGAATCAGTGTGAATGAGAGATTTTCTGTTCGATATTCCGCATTAATGTACTAGAAAACAGGAGTTTGTCTGCTAGCTTATTTAGGTTGTCTAGAGGTTCCTCAATCTCGTGAGAATAATRAACCGGTAYARTGAAGTCTGCGACACTCGCTTCGAGAGGCRGCACTCGAAACACTGCATACAATCAAAGCACACATATTGATGAATGTAGAACACTACCCTAGGCCCGGAAAACGTAGTGATGCGAATTTTGAACTGCTCCGCAACCTGGAATCATCGGTTAGGAATTACGTGAAKGAGATAGTGTCACGAATTGAATTTAAATATTGTAGCAGTAGAAGTCACAGAAATATTCCTAGTTTGTGTTGCGATGACTTTTTTATTCAAGATTTTCCTTATACTTGCTTCCACGTAAACCATGTCTTCAATTTTTCCACATTAAACCTCGGTCAGATCATCCTGATCAGTGAGTTGCTGCATCATATMAGCGACACTGTATTTGATGTTGGAGAACATACGTCTGAACATAACTTCGAGCTCTGCGTATTTTCCATGAGGCTGYTGGATATTGTTGTGAGCGCTTTGACAAATCTGTCCAAGCCTGACAATACGATTCTTCAATTCGTTGCGGCGCTCCATGTTCTGAGATTCAAGGAATCCCTTCTGTTTCGATACAAGCATTTCATACACACCCTTGTCAAGTGGAGGACCAAAAGAACCTTCCTCAGTGGATGGGGGAAGTTCAAGGTTGAGTTTCGCCTTCTCTTCGTCAGGAATATCAAGACCATCAATGAGAGCTTTCTGCTTGCGAAGAAYATCTTCCGTTTCAACCCACATAGCCCTGGCATCTTCGTTTAGYTTTCCGTCTTGAGATTCTTCGACGCGCAAAAGCTGTTGCAAACTYTCCGAACCTTCAGCTGGTGGATGACGATCAACAACATGGATCAAGATGGACAGGAACTCGTTCTGCGTCGCATCACTCTCTTTGTATTGCTTACTCTTCTGGTAAACAAATCGWAGATACATCTGTTCCAATAGAGCGCTCATRTTTACAGCAATAGGTAAATATTCGTGCAACTCTGCAACCATGGTAAGGACGTTGTGGTCCATTGCAAGAGTTCCGTCGTCATGAGTGTAGCCCAATCCAGTGACCACCTTCTCAGAAATAGACAGATATTCTTTTGAAGTATCTCCCTTGCAAAAGTCTTCCAASGTGGAGCTTGTCATCCAGTTGATTTGGTCTTCCGTTACAGTTGGGAAACAATTTTGGGCTCTTTGAATCTTGCGAATCGCAAAGGCAAAGGCAGAGTTCTCGTCTTCATCATCAAACAGGAACTTTTTCGTGTCACCGGGATCATTAGCAGCTGCAAGAGCTCCAACCAATGAAAGCAAAGGATGTCTTGGTTCCTTTCCTGTAACTTGCGATATTTGACCAAGCATCAAATTCTCGATGTATGGCCAGTCCATACCGAGGTAAATAACATTACCCTGCACATCCATTCCACGGCGTCCTGCACGACCCTGCATCTGTTGGGCAATGAGAGGAGTAAGATCATCGCCCATATCACCACAAAAGATGCACGAACGGAAGGGCATATTAACACCGTAAGCCAACGCCGAATCGGAAAATACAACGGCTAGACGACCTTGCGAAGCAAGCATTTGAACTTGGCGACGATAGCAAGAAAAGCCAACTTCATTCGTGTAAATGGCGAYACCACGACGCAATCCACGAATGAGTGCGTGGTTGATATCAACCTTCTCTCCTGACTTCTTCATATCGCTGATAATATTCTCTACTTCACTGTAGTTCAGGCGCTTTCCGGCAGGCGACAGAACGTATTTCTCATGGGGGCGCGTTGTATCTTCATTCACAAGTGAATCGTCTACAAAACCAGCYTGTGCGTCAGCTTCTGCCTCYGCTGCATTCTCTCTRTTTGCCTTGCCCTCGGCAACCTTTCTCATTTGTGCCTTTTCGCGTGCGACTCGAATAAGATCCTTACGGTAAGTTGGGAACTCGCTAACCTGATCACTTTCGAGGCGAGCAAGGACTTTCTTGAACATGTCGAAAGCCCCGTAGGTATTCAGTTGAAATGCAACTGCAGGTAACAAATCACTGGACTTGAGTTGCTTCACAACGTCGTACAAATCATCGCTGACATCCGTTTTCGCCTTCAATGGTGGAGGTTCTTGCGCAACTCGTAGTTTCTCGTACAACTCAGGATGAGAAGAGCAAAGGTCCGTGAGGCGAGATTTCAGTCTGTTCTCGTACTCTTTAGTTTGATTCAACGTAATACGCTTACTCTCGTCAACGTATTGGTTGAAAAAGTTGTCAGGATTGTCCAATTTGTCCAAAGCTGTGGCAGGAAACATCGCTTTCAAACGTTTCCACAACGTCATCATGTCGTGAGGAGTCATCGCAAGAGAAGAAATAAGTTCAGGTTGATTAGTCAATCGATCCGAAGTCATGGCTGCTACTGGATGAAGTTTGGTCAATTTGGCTTCAGTCTTGCCATCTTTGCCTTCCTTTTCTGTCACGACATATCGTTGCAAGTTGATGAATCTTGATGAATGTTCTTTCAGGACCACATCTGGAGGGGTTTCCGGTGCGTCAATRACGGTTGCCTCCATTTGTTCCTTTTGAACACTGGCGAACCAATCCTTCAATTGAACAGCATTTCCGATGGTAGCACTTAGTGCCARCATGGGGCAGTTGCATGCCTTGATGATTCTCTGGAGAGCATCTCCCTCAGGTCCATTCAGGGTATGAACTTCGTCAAGAACAAGGTAATCAAACTGGTTGAAACCACCATCAAGAATCATGAATTCACGCTCACCCTTGGTCATTTCATCACCGGCGATACCTCGGACTTTGCACAAGCTTCTTTCCAAGGCAATAGGGGTCCCGACGTAAACCTGGGCTTCACCGGTGACTTCTTGGAATGTAATCTGCTCWGTGCAGACAGTKACATTTCCCTTGAAGAATTGGTAGTAAAGCGATGCTACCTGCCACACCAGGACCTCACTAGGGAGGACAAAGAGAACGGGTCCGTTCGCATTCTTACAGGTGTATGTACTAAGAATTGTTTTTCCAGAGGATGTTGGVGCGCAAACCACAGCTGTTTGTCTATCGTCGATTGCTTTCAAGATATCAAACTGCCAAGGTTCAAGTTGAAGTTTTCGATTGTAGCGACTAAGTGGGGGGAGACGATCTGCCATTTCCGTCAACTGGAAGGAGATCAGATTTTCTTTCCCATTCATAAGCTTGCGGGCAAACTTCAAGGAATCTCTGTATGATCCACGGTTATCGCCTCCCTCTTTGTATAACTTCTTCAGGGTTTCAGCTTCCGTTGTAAGTACAACCTTTACAACTTCGGCGGGCTTTTCTTCCTTGTCCTTCTTCTTATCCTTCTTGTCTTTCTTGTCCTTCTTAGACTTTTTATCGGCTTTCTTTTCTTCCTTTTTTCCTTCTTTCTTYGCAGCCTTTTCTAATGCAACTAAGGAATCCGAAGCTTTGAACGAGGGCATCTCTTCAAGAGCCCATAGGATATCGAGGACCTCGGCCTCGCTGCTGCTCACAACTCCTTGGCGCAAGTCGCATACGGCAAGATGAAGCATCTTGATCATGCGATGAATCTTTCCACTTGGAGTATCACATGTTGTTTCTTGCAGGGCCTTGAGACTTCTAAGATTAGACAGCTTTTCCAGATCGCGAATGTGGTCCTTCTTCTGCTTYTCAGCCGCATTTGACTCCTTGATGGCGTCAGCTGTGGATTTTTTCTTGTCCTTCTTGCCCTTCTTCTTGTTGTTTGCAGCCAACTTTGCAGCAGCAGCATCGTTGTCCTCTTTCTCGGCCGCAATTCGACGGCGCTCCTTTTCTTCCTCCCACTTTTGGGCGGGATCGAAGATTGTACCTGTAGGAGGTGCCATGTCTCGGAGAATCAAAGGAATCGAAGATCTCTGGCGCACGGTGGTGATCTTCTTCCTTGTTTCTCTGTCAAAGGTCTATTGGGAATAAAGAGGTGGGGTAGAAGAAACAAAGRTWGCTTGAGTATTRAAAACGGAAACATCCATTTTCGTCACATTTCAGTCAGAAGCAGCCRAGCGAACCACAATGGGTCGGATACTACAATTTCAACCCTCGAAATCAAAGCAATAATGTATGCAGAGTGCTAAACTTACTCTATCAATTCCATCTTTGTACATCAACGCCGACTTTTCTACCCAGTAGACATCGAATGTACGGAGCTTGAACAAGAGATCCTTGTCAGATTCACCAGTATCTGCCGCCGGAGCGGCAGAGGAAGACGGGTTCACAGGGGCATTGTTGGCGCTTGCGGCATTGGCGGCGCTTGCCTGGGGAGCAGGTACGAAAGACATGCACTACTTGAGAACTTAGGGTTTGTTTGTTGTTTTTGTCACTTGCTATGCTATGCTTTCAATCGGCAAGAATCGAAAACTACGATAGACACAATATTCAAAGTTTGTCAGGTGAATGATAAACAACCAAACTCAGGAAACACGCGAATGAAAATTGCTTAGGATAGGTTAAGACGACGCTACTAGCCAGGAAATGCCCCTTGSCTCTCGCACCGTGCAAAAACTACCTTCGGATAGCGAAACATACTCGTACTCGTACTACAACCGGTTTAAAGGATGCGGAACGAGCAACATTGCAGGTACCAGGTACGCAAAAGGACAGACCGTAATTTGTATGCACTCGAAGTGTTTCTGCGTAATTTTCATCTGTCAACACCACCAAAACAAGCATGAGTAAAAATGGTACCGGTACAGSACACTCCGGTAATAAAAACTCTTGATCAGAAAACATGTGGTAAGAAATTGGTCCTTCCTTCGTTCGCAAAATGAACAGTAACATACAGATAATGTGTAAAACTAGTATGATGCATGGAAAACTTTGAGAGAACAGAAAACGCAATTTTACGCTTTATGTACGATACTACCCTACGTCTCTACCATATCATTCAAACTCGTCTACTACGTACTACCGTACACCGTACTACCGTACGGTACGGTACGTGCCATTGCCTCTTTTTGAAGAGACAAAGAATATTACCGTACCGTACCTCCGCACATATCGTACACTTTTAGTGCCAAACATCACCGAAGTCTACAAATAAGTTTCAAACTTGTGCCATTACAAATCCAAACCTAATAGTATTCTAGCAATTCAAAATCAACAACTAACTCGCATAATAGACACMGAAAAATTGGCAACTTCTTACAAATCAGGGCCGATGTCTAGCCCACCAATGCTTTCCAAATAAGCAACTATAGGATGGTCGTCTTCGAACGTCCTCTTGGCGTAATACAGTGCAGTTCCCCCYAAGTCACCGTGAGTCATCGCGTTAACGTCGGCTCCATTCTCTACCAAAAATTTGACGACCTCTAAATGACCTGCTCTGGCACCTTCGTGAATCTATCACAACAAAAGCAATAGTCAGTAAATGCAACAGAATATTCGTGGACCGAATCAAATACTTTGCAAATCGTCACTTACTGGTTGCCATCCATTTGCATCCTTGGCATGAATCAATTCTTTCATGTTCGATACTTCTTTTTTCAATGTCTTGAGATCACCTCCCTGAGCCGCGTGGTGAGCTGGTGTGGATCCAGTGGTAAATGATTTTCCTTTCGATTTTTGTCCACCGGGATGAGAAGCACGCCAGTGCGCTTCTTCAGGAGTTCCGGGGACAATGTAASYGGGAAGTCCGTTCTGTTCATTTTCATGTCCACCGGAACCTCGTGCCAACGAATCTCGATACTTTTGGTCAACGTCGGAGCCGGCATCCGTTTTATGATTGTGGTGACGCAACGTATGGCCCGTGGGTTCAAAGTGAACAAAAATATTAGCAAAAAATCTKCCTTKGAGAGGAAAGGGTCGTCCGTGAATGACAGAGTGACTCTCGTAAAGAACCATATCACCTGGTTCCATGGTAACGTTTWCCGCTTTTCCATCATGGCCGATGACCTCCAGTGGCCAAGGCTCGTCGAGATCCTGGGCAACATTGATGATGGCTGAAGACACCAATGGTAGACGATCCACGTGCGGTGCTAGAACACTACCTTCGTAGTAAACTCGAATGCCATACARGCTACACTGGGTCAATTCTTGTCCTGTCCATTCGGMMATAGTATCATATGCTGCATCCCAAAGTTTTTGCTTTAGCCCATAGCCACCTCCACGCAAGCCCGWATCTTCAACGCTCACCATCTTAGAGTGCGYTTTCCAGTTATTAGTGTACGTATTGCCTTCAATGAAAAGAAAAAATRATCAGAATACGAAACAGTTTCTTTTTTCGATTCAGGCCAACGTCAAAGCGTCCAYATCCCTAGTTTTTAATCTTACCAAYACCCCAGTTTTCAGACTTTGGGTTATCTTTGTTAGCATCCCAGAACTTTTTGACCATTTTCCAAACCTCTGGCGGTGCTCGAATTTCTGGTTTTTGATTCATAAGAAGAAAGATTCAAATGTAAGCGYCGACTGAAATCATGTCCCAAACTAGCATCACGAAATAATGAAACACTTTTATSTGTCGGAAGTCGCTGCAATGTACTTACTTTTGTAGCCAACCTTAGTCTAAATTACCGTTTAGTGAGCGCGAATAGCAGAAATGTRGGATGTTAGTCATATCGATCAGAGACCATGTAAACAGAAACCAATTCAAAGARCATACCCATTGYGCAGAGCTATTCGTGTTTCCAACACTAAGTCGTTTCAGTCACTCTTATACKTACGTAATTTTGCATGCTTTGMGGCTGTCGAAGCGTCATGGCAACTCGATCCAGTTCATTTTGAGTACAGCGTGCGCCTTTTTTTCCAAACTTGTCWATACATCCTTGAATAAAGTCTTTGTAGAAATCTTTCTTATTTCCCAGTGGCTGTGGGACCATGTCTCTGTATTCCTCTGGGACAGGAAGACTGGGATCCACGTTGTGTGGAAGCCACGGATAGTTCGTACTRACGTCGAAATAATGCATCGGGAACGAAACATCTACTCCATATTCGACAGGTTCGTCTTCAGCAACCACTAATGATGCAACGGCAGCAAGGAAAAGACATTTCAAACCGTGAAACTTCATCTTGGGGTAATATATTCTAGCTTTACSTCTTGGTCAAAATCAACAGCGTGTTTCGTGTTCAATCGACGTCGAGGRATTTCGTCGTTTTATGCTATAAGATATGAATTAATTTTCTGGTGGTSACKGTGACGGAGCAAACAGGTTGCATAAAGGAACCCGWWGAG